ATTTCATATAACACATAAAGAACTTTGAAACTACATGTATTATAATTATTTTTTTGTTTTATCAAAAATTATTTTTTTGACTTATATAAATATTTAAATAATGTTTATGATAAAAAGAGATATTTTGGTGAAAATAAAAGTTTGAAAGTCAAACTTAATTAACTGTTGGAAGGTTTGTGTGACATACATTTTAATTTTAAGAGCAGTTTATATATATTTTCAAAATAGAGGATAAATTTCTGTAATTTAAGTGAAACAAAGAGGTAGTAAATGTATTATACTCTAAGATTTATCATTAACTGATATTTCAAAAAAAAAAAAAACACTAGTTTGAGGTTCAGCTTCGGCTTCCAACTTGCGTTTGCAGAGTTGGTAGCTAATCTCATCCAAGACATCCTCAGCATCGTACACAGCGTCTTTGAGCTCCAAAAGCCAGGCCCTCGCATTTGGATCACTAAACTGCTTATACTCAGCATCATCAATTACACTGTTCACGGATATCAGCATGATTTTCAACTTCTTCACCAGAGTCTCATTCAATCCTCTCTTTTGGAAGTAGTGAAGAGTTTCATTAGAAGCCAACCGGACAAAAGTCACCTGAAGGAAGGCAGACAGAAAAGCAATGCCAACATCTGCACCAGACATGGTAGGAAGAAAAAAATGATCAAGAAGAGGAAGGGATCGATGACAGCAACAGAGAAGTGAGTCTAATGCCAATACAAGGGAAAGTTAAAAGCTCTTTGGCCAAATAATTTAACACGATGCAATTGTTGGACTTTCGAGATATACATACTTGCCGACATCTTTTGAATGGAAGGTGAATTATTGCGAGGAAGCTCTCTGACTTGCAGCTATGGCGACTATTCTGCTTCTTTTTATCCCCCAACAGGGCCACGTATTGGCATTAATTAACTTTGCATCGGACAAATGTGTATAAATTTATTATACAATTAATATGATGACTAATTTGATTTTAAATTTGGTTCCAAATAAAATACCTACTCTATTTTATTTATTATGTTTATACATTTGTTTCAAGGTAGTATTTGTAGTTGTTGCACATATTAAATATTTTATTAAATAATACTTCATTAGCATAGACATTTAGGAAAGATAATATCTATTTATTATAAATAATAACATAATAAATTTTCTTAATCTATTCAAATTAGTAAATTAATTCTATTGAAGATCGGAGTATTAAAATATACTACTTCCGTCTAATAAGACATTTTAACAGAAAAGATGAATTCTTTCTTATAAATCATCTGGTGGGACAGTAATAACGTTGTTTTCAATATTACACGGATTTGAAGTGATTAATTATAAAAACGAATGTGATACAATAAGTCTGGAAAATTTTTTATTTAAATATGAGAAAATTAGAAGGAAAGGAGGTGAAGAAGAGGAAGAGCAAGGGATCTATGGCAGCAAACAGAGAAGTGCGCCTAATGCCAAAGCAAGGGAAAGCTAAGGGCTCTTTAGCCAAATAATTTGACACAGCAATATTTGGAAGTGAATGTACGTTACCGCTAACGCGGCTCTGCTACATCAATTATCATCAATCATTATTAACTCTCAACTTGAAAACTCGTAACACTTCACTGTTTGACAATGAGTGAGGTATAACATTATACATTATAAAATTCAAATATATTTTACTAATAAAATTTGAATATTATTTTGATTGTGATTTGAATATATTAAATTAAATAAGTAGGATTTCAATCGAAAGCTTAAATTAAAAATTAATAATTAATTTTTAATTTAAATAATATCTTAGATTGAAATTTAAATATATTAAATTAAATGGAGAGCATCATTATTAAATGATATTTTCGTTAGTGGCTAAAAATGAAAAAAAATTATTAATTAATTTTTAAATCTAAATATATTTAATCAATACTATTTAAATAATATCTTGATTGGAATTTGAATATATTGAACTAAATGGAAAATATTATAATTAAATGGAATTTCATTCAAATGAAAAAATTAATAATTAATTTCAGATTTGAATAATATCTTAATTGGGATTTGAATATATTGAATTAAATAAGGAGCATCATAATTAAATTTTATATCAATTGGAGGTTTAAATAAAAAAATAAAAAAATAATTTTAAATTTTTATCTATTGCCTCTAAATTTCACATCTCTAATTCAAATCCAATTTGAATGAATAAAAAAAATCATATTCTTATAAGAAGTTAATCTTGAGCTATGTTAAATAATACAATTTATTAGAATTTCAAATCTAATCAAATATATTAGTTTGTGCATTGCACAAGAGAGAAGTTTCTAATTATAAATCATGGTAGAACTATATCCTTAACCCTTTAATTTGTCATAATGTTTTGTTTTGGTCCTTTAATTTGATACAATAATTTTTTGTAGTCGTTTAAATGATTCAACCACAAATAAAAACAATAAGTTATTTTTTGTAGTCCTCTATGTTCATATTATTTTAATTAAGTAAAGTATAATTAATAAATCATCAAAAGAAGCACTAATTTTTTTGATCCTTTTTCTTTTTTCTTCGGATCCTTAGGAAGACCAGCCCAAAGAAAAAGAAGTTGAAGAAAAATCAAGCTTACCAAACAACCCAACATAATTATTGTGTTTCAAAATTCCCAAATGAACTGTATTGACCTTGCAAATTACGTTTAGACAATGAGACACCTGAATTTAAAGAATTCATACTAAAAAAAAATTAAATTACAACTATCTTCAACCATTGAAAGTTTAGTTCTGCTTGGTAGTTTTGGAACTATTATATCCTCTTAGATTTCTTGTTTAAAGTCAGAGTATAGAAACTAATTTTCTTCAAATCAAAAGCATCAAAGTTAAAGTCCTTTTAATAAGTGCGTTTTCCAAAATTTAAACTTGTATTCTCATCATGAGATTACTTATCATCTCAACTAATAATTTGATAATATGTATTTCCTTAACTTTATCCTGTTGTATGGCTTAATTAAAAAAAAAAAAAGGAAAGTTAGTCTAAATAACGAAATTTGTTTGGAGGGAACTAATTTCTAAACTTATGCACAGATATACGTAAAAAAATAATATTAAATTAATCAACACAATACTATTATATTATTGGTATAATCAATAGTACTAATTAAAATAATGAATTTTTCTTAAAAGTAAGCTATTTTCCATTTTTTCTTCTCTATTTAAATATTATAAAAGCCGTTTCTTTTAACTGATATTGATTTTGGGAATTCCTAACCATAAAGGACGAATTATATTTGGGACGAAGTATGTTTGGGACCAACACATGATTCAGACACTAGAACACGACTGACAAATTTTTAAATTTAAATTTTATATTACAATAATAATGATGGAAACAAATTTACCAATTGAGATTGGCATAAATAATAGGGGATTTCATCCTTTAAGCAAATGGTTAAATTTCGAATCCACACCTTATGTATATCTTTTACTCTCAAAATTATGAAGGATGCTCAATTTGCTTTCGTTGCGCGCAAGTCCCCAACGTTTATGAAGAAATTATGGTTTTATGGGACCCTCTCCCAACATCACCCAAAAATTTTTTAAATATGAGATCAATTGGACTCGTTTGTTTGATATGAAGAATTAGAATAACATGAAAATAATAAATAATTCATAAATTGAAAAAGGTCTTTTGTTTTTCTTAATTTGAAAGCTAATGAAAGAAAATTCTTAGGAGTTTGATAATTAATTTAAAAATATTGAGAAAAATAATTAAGCTAGTTATTCTTAAAAAAACACGTGTTTATTTTTTCAAAACTACTTTTTTTATTTATTTGCATTGAAAACTATTTTCCCCATAAAAAATCATACCAATATATATATGTAATCAATAAGAAGAGTTTGGAAAATAATTATAAATTTAGAGGACAAAGTAAACTAGAATCATCTACTAACTTGTGCGATTTAGAGCCCGAAGGAGTCATAATTATTGACTTGAATAATAATATCAGGAAAATAAATATTATATAATTTCTGTTGTATAAAAAATATATTATATATGTTTTTTCTCAACAAATTATTATCTATGTTAAATACTAACAACATAAGTAATTTTTTCAGTCGTGAAGTTCATAAACTTGCTCTAATAACCTCTGCAAATCCAATGGCCTAACATTTCAATTCAGTGTGTGTGCGTTCTCAATTTTCACACAATTAATTCATTTAAAATAAAGCGCGCGCACGGCGCGCACACACACACACACATATATATATAACGGTGTTTAAGCTGGTTAGTTGTGTTTTAAACACTGATTTTTCTTGTGTATTGACAATTACCCTTAATCAAATGTGTTTGATTCTGCTGTTGGACATTCAAGTTTGGCTCTTAATTTTTGAAGATGATTTCCGACAAACAAATCTCTGCAAAATTAGTGTGAAGTTGCTCATTGTGCAATCAAGTAAATATTTCTCATTTTGTAATTTCCATCCAGTCAAGAAAACATGAAACTTCAACCTGCCACAACATGGAGAGATTTTTTTTTTTTAATAGTAATAAAACGAGGGTTGTTAATACATGTAGTCATAGCCTAAACAGAAAAGGGGGGAAAAAGAAAAATAATGAGAAAGTTGCAGGGATTGGGAGAAAGTATCAACTAAGGTTACATTTACTAACTAAAGTATCGTCTATAATATTCCATCTTCTAGGTGTTAAGATTTATTATTAACTGATATTTTCGAGAAAGAAAACATGTAAACCATTTTTTAAGAATTTTCATTGAATCCGACTACACAAAGTCATAATACTTCTTTAAAGAACCCCAAAAAAAAAAATTTCAATCAATCTCTGCTTCAAAAATTTTAGCTCTCCCATGTCTTTTCCTATCAGGCATCAGAAAATAATTAAGATCCATCAAAACTAACACACATAATTGAAGAAATTTAGAGATTTAAAACAAAGATTTCAATTTTAGACAATCTCCAAATGTTCAAGCATAACAATTCCATGATAGTATCATCAACAGCTTCTTTCCTTTTCCAGCTCTGCTCATTTAAGTCTCTCTATAAAGCGTGCAGCGATCGTCTATCAGTATTTGAAAAATATTCGACACTGTGAGCAATGGAAATTTACTTTTGTAAATAATTCATTTCAAATCTCCTTGCAGTATGTGTGCTTACCCCCTGAAGAGATCTTCACGGCAAGCCACAGAACAAAAAAGCATCTTCAGTGATTCCATTGACAATGCTTTAGGTTGGGAACTCCAGTAACAGTAATCTCATTTGTTATTGCCCCTAACAAGAAAGAATACCAGAATTTGTTATTGCCCCCAACAAGAAAGAATACCAGAATAAATTTTTAGAATTCAAATATATAGATGTTATTGTGAAAGGAGTTCTTAGTTTTATAATGGGAATGTAGTTCTCAGGTAATCAAGCAAAGAGAAACTTTGAAGCAACGTTAAGAAGAGAGCGAATATAAAATAATCCAGGTATGATCACCAATGCATACTTTTTCTATTGATTGCGTTAAACAGAAAGGAATATGTGTATAGGAATAAATACGCAGCAAAAGATACCTGAGGATTGGCTAATAAATATAAACTTCACGGATGTGAGCAATCTTTTCCCAATCTTCCCCTTCCGGTTTCTGGCATCTTTGTTTAAGCGCCGGACAGTGTCCGCCAATTTGAAGCCAAGAAATGGAACTGGGGAGGCCCTCCTGGGGCAAGCATTGGAGTCTCGGACAATTATCAATAGTCAAATATTTGAGGGAAGGCGATTGACAAAGAGCCTTGTAGTCTAACATTCTGAGATTGGAACAGTTGATGATCCAAATAGAAATAAGAGAAGTTGGGAGTAGTCCCGGTTCAGGTAGAGACTCCACCACATCATCACCGTCGATGGTCAATGTACGTAGAAAATCATAATTGTGCAAACCCCATTGCATTCGACATGCAAACAGTTTGGGGCATCTGTTGATATCAAGATGCGTCAGTTTTGATAGCAGACCCCCCTCTGGCAATGATTCCATTTGTGGACAATCTGTTATATGTAGTTCACCAAGAGACGGAGAAAAAATGTTGATATGCTCAGGTAGTGATTTCAAATTCTCCAAATCTTCAAAACAGCAATATTCCAGCCTAGGGGCAGAATACCCCTTTTTCGGAAAGGATACGAATTTTGGACACTTTGTAATGCTTAAACGTGTAAGATTCCCATGGTTGTGGCCCTCTGAAACGGAAATTCTTTCAAGATTATTACACTCACACAAATACAAATCCTGAAGTGCAGGGAACTGATCCAATGCAAAGGTCCCAAGCGACCCACAACTTCCCTCTATCCGTATATCACGAAGTGAGTCATGATGTTGCTTCAATGGGAACTCCCAATCTGGACAGTCACGAATCTCAACCCTTCCAATACAGGAGTTATTAATGGTGTGCTCAATCTTTTCAAGCAAACTCACATTCGTGCATGGTCCACAAAAGCAGAGTGCTTTTAGAGTGGACGGGATATATTCCAACCCCACATTTCCACAGTTTTCAAGAGTCAACCCTTGAATTGTTGGGGCTCGTGGAACCAAAGCTACAAGTTGTGGGCAATCTTCAATAACAAGATCATCTAAAGAAAGAAGTTGTTCGGGCAAATTCTCTTTCAGCTTTGGACAATCTATTATATGAAGCACTTTAAGGCATGTGAAGGCCCTTGAAGCAGTGGAACAATCCCATTTCTCCCAATTCACCATTCCCTCGAGCTCCAAGGTTTCAAGAGATCTAAATGGAACAGTAGAAGAATCACTTCCGAGAAATTCAGCACCAATAGCCTCAATGCCATCCAACTTTCCAATGAGTAGTGACTTGAGAGAAGGCAAAAGGCCTAAAGATGGCAACACGAAACAATACTTGCAACCTTCTAATCGGAGCTCCACTACGTTGGACAATGTGTTATCAGCAAACCAATCTGGAAACCTTGTGCCACCATAGTACTCAACCGATAGTTTCTTCAAATTTTGGTGAGGTCGGAGCTTCTCTAGCACATCCCTCTCATTCTGAGAATCATCATTAGTGTCTTTATTCCATCTGAAGCATAACTCCTCAAGGTACCTTTTTTCTTTCAAGTTGGCTTGTAAGGCATCCGTTCCATGAACTACATTCTGCAACTCATGAATTGAAAGCTCTCCTTGAAGATTGAGTTCGCCTAATTGTTTGATGTTGAGCTCATTACATTTGCCCACTTCAAATGATGTCAGGCGAACTTGAAGATTTTTCAGCTTTCCCATATGTGGTGGAATCTTTTTCAAGCTAGTGAATCGTAAATCTAGGTGATGCAAATTTTTTAATTTATGAAAATCAGCAGGCAACTCAACCAAAAGTTCGCAGTCGACCAATTTCAATGTTTGTAGGTTATACAGAAGACATATTGACTCGGGGAGCCTCTTAATTTTACAGTTAGATAGATCAAGACACCGTAGATGTATGAGATTTCCTATAGAATCAGGTATCTCCTCAATTGTGCCATTGGAAGCCAGAGATAAAACTCGCAAGCATTTGCACTTGCATAATTCATCAAATATTAGGTTGCTCGAGGTCCACAGGAAACCCCACCTATTTGGGAGAGGCAAGAATGTTCGTAATTTTTTCATTTTTTGCAAATTCTCAAACCATTTGTATTCTCCATATTCGTGATACAAAACAGATAAGTGACGGGTTTTTTCTGAAAAATCCACCACCCCATTAGCCTCTTGCTTGAAACAAAGATCTCCAGATACATGAATTGCCAGATCATTGAGAATGTCATGCATGACAAAACATGTTCCATTTATAGAAGACGACTCCTGAAAAAAAGATCTTGACACAAGCTCTTGGAAGTATTCATTGCCTACTTCTTCAATTGACTTATTTGGTTGAGAGGCTTGCAAGAAATTATGAGCCATCCACAATAGAATCAGCTCCTCCTTGCGAAATTCATAATCCTTCGGGAACAATGAACAATAAGCAAAGCATTGCTTTAGCTGAGAAGGGAGATAATGATAGCTCAATATCACAGCGGGAAGAATATTATTATAAGAAATCTCCCATATCTCACTTCCCAAAATGTTGTTCCATTCCTCCCAAGATGATTTCCTGTACAAGAGACTCCCAATTGTTTTCAAGGCCAAAGGCAAACCTTTACACTTTTTAACAATCTTTCTTCCAATTTCTTCATGATCAAAATTCTTTGGTGGACAACAGTTGCGAATTGCATATTTTTTAAATAATAGCCAACCATCTTCATGTGACAATAGCTTTAGGTGATGTTCTTCATTAGAGCCAGCTGCTAACACGACATTCTCATTGCGTGAAGTGACAAGAATTCTGCTTCCCGCAACCCCACATATGAAAGGTGCTAAAAAATTTTCCCACGATATGCAATCATCACACCAAGCATCATCAAGAATAATGAGGAACTTTTTTTTAGAGAAGAAATCCTTCAACTTATTTTGAACTTCATCTAAATCTTCTATGTCATTATTAGATTCCGTGGCTTTCTTGAAAATTCTTTTTGACAACCTCAAAACATCAAAGTCATCTGAAACACATACCCAAAGTCTATAGTCAAATTCACTCTTAACCCTTTCATCATTATAAACAAGCTGAGCAAGGGTGGTCTTCCCCAACCCACCCATACCCACTATAGGAATGACAGAAAAGTGGCTGTCGTTTTTCAACCTTTGAAATATAATTTCTTTGTCCTCATTCCTGCCATATATTCCAGCTTCATCCACTAAAGAAGTTGTCTCAGTCTGCCACTTTCTCTCAAATCCATCAGCTCCACCTTTGTTAAATTGTTTCAAATGCAGACCAATCTTTCTGCTCTCGAGAAATTCAAGGTTTTCAAGGATTTGTTTCATCCTCGATTCGATTTCCTGGTCAAACATAGTATCAGAAGCAGAGAAGAATTTTCGTACCTTGCTAGTAACACTAGTTTGAGTTTCCGCTTCGGCTTCCAACTTGCGTTTGTGGACTTCATAGTTAATCTCATCCAAGACATCCTCAGCATCGTACACAGCATCTTTGAGCTCAAAAAGCCAGGTCCTCACATTTCGATCACTGAACTGCTTATACTCAGCATCATCAATGACACTACTGATGGATATCAGCATGATCTCCAACTTCTTCACCAGAGTCTTATTCAATCCGCTCTTTGGGAAGTAGCGAAGGGTTTCTCCAGAAGCCAACCGGTCAAAAGCCACCTGAAGGAAGGCAGAGAGAAAGGCAATGCCAACATCTGCACCAGACATGGTAGGAAGAAAAAAATGATCAAGAAGAGGCAGGGATCGATGACAGCAACAGAGAAGCGAGTCTAATGCCAATACAAGGGAAAGTTAAAAGCTCTTTGGCCAAATAATTTAACACGGTGCAATTTTTTGACTTTCAAGATACATATACTTGCCGACATCTTTTGAATGGAAGGTGAAAGCTCTCTGGCTTACAGCTATCACGACTTTTTAACTTCTGTTTCCCCCAACAGGACCACGTATTGGCATTAACTAACTTTGCACAGGACATACGTGTATAAATTTATTATACAACTAATATGTTACCGGGGTATAAAAATTAATTTGGCTTTTAATTTGAATCTAGATAAAATATCTTAATCTATTTTATTTATCATATTTATACATTTGTTTTAAGATAATACTTGTAGTTGTTATACATGTTAAATATTTTATCAAATAACAATTGATTAACATAGGTCTTTTAGAAGAGACAATACATATTTATTATAAATATTAACATAAAAAAATTTTTTAACCTATTCAAATTAGTCAATTAGTTTTTATGTTAAAAATCAGAATATTAAAATATACTACTTCAGCCTAATAAGACATTTTAACAGAAAAGATGATTGCTTTATTATAGATTATCTGATGGGACAGTAATAACGTTGTGTTCAATATTGCACGGATTTGAAGTGACTAATTAGAAAAAAGAATGTAATACAATAAGTCTGAAAAAAATTTTATTTAAATATGAGTAAAATTAGAAGGAAAAGAGGTGAAGAAGAAGAGTAAGGGATCGATGGTGGCAAACAGGGAAGTGCGCCTAACGCCAAAGCAAGGGAAAGCTAAGAGCTCTTTAGCCAAATAATTTGACACCGCAATATTTGGAGATAACTGTGCGTTACGGTAAAGTGGCCGACATCTTTTGAGTTAAAGGTGAATTATTAAGAGGATGCTTTTTGACTTATTTGGGTGCAGCTAACGTGGCTCTGCTTTTCTTTTCCCATGTGCAGGGGGGACAGTGCTCGACAAAATTGCTAATGAGAGAGCGAAAACGAGTGAGAAGATTCATCATGAAGAGACGAAGCCCCCCGAAGTTGCAGAAGTGTGTGTGTGTATATATATATATATATATATCTGTATGTATGTATGTAAACTTTTAACTATGGTATAAAAGTCCAATTTAAGCAAGGCAATCAAGATGGTTGATTTTTTTTTTCTCCCTCTCAGCCTGAAATAATGATGTTTTTAGTTGAAAAAAATAGCAATTTGTGAGATTGCTAATTTAATAATGGGAATTTGCCCTTAAAAGTTTCTACTCAAGAGCTATGGGTATTTGACAATTTTTTTGGATGTAAACTTGTCCCAGAGTTTAAAATCGTAACAATATTATCTCATAGTGCTAACGATCAAGGTCATTATTTTAACAGCTAAAATTAGTTTTTTAACAGTATGGGACACTGTTGTCATGATTTTAAACTTTTAGAGCATATTTGCATCTCAAAAAAACTGTCGGGTGCCCAACACTCTTAAGTAAAAAATTTCTTGAGCAAACCTGTATATTAACCCATTTAATAATTTTGTTTTGTTGAATTACATTTAGTTTATATATAAGTTTTGCTACAACTATATTTTTAGTATTTTAATTTTACACAATATTTTTTTTGGTACTTTAATTTTATAAAGTATTTTTCACGGTCTTTTAAATGATTCAAGAACAAATAAAAACAAATATAAGCATTATAATAAGTTATATTATATAGAAGTCATGAATAATGTACACATGTACACACACATACGTTCTCCTCGACTTATTTGTCTTGTAAATATGCTTGAACACTTTTTTAGTAGTATGAATTGAATTTTCCCCTTTTTACAAAACAAAAACAAGAAGATAATGAATTTTTTTAAAAAACACAAGAAGATAATGTTATTAAAAATGAAACATATGATAATTTAAAAAAAAACAGTTGAAATTGCCTCCATATTCATATTATTTTAATTAAGTAAAAGATAATTAATAAATCATCAAAAGAAGCAATAATTTTCTTTATCCTTTTTCTTTCCTTTTTGGATCTCTAGGAAGACCAACACAAAGAAAAAGAAAGTGAAAAAAAGTCAATTATACCAAAAAACCCATCATAATTACATTTAACAAGCACACTTTTCAGAATTTAAATTTGTATTTTTCTCCTTATAAAATAAAACTGCTTACCATCTCAACAACAATTTATTAATGCATATTTTCCTAAAAGCTGTTTCTTTTAACTAATATTGATTTTGGAAATTCTTAGCCACGAAGGATGAATTATACCTGGGACCAACACATGCTTTAGACACTAGAATACGACTAAAAATTTTTTAAATTTATATTACAATAATAATTAAAAAATTTACCGATTTAGATTGGCATAAATAATAGGGGATTTCATCATTTAAGCAAATGGTTAAATTTGGAATCCGCACCTTAAGCATATCTCTTAGGAAAAATGACAAAAAAAGAATCATGAAATTGTGAATTTCTAATTCAGGAAGTTAGGCATTGAAAATGATAGGGAGGAAAGTAAATCCAAAATTGAAATTTTAAAATACAAAGGAAATGACAAAAACACCACTTTATTTTATTAAAAAAAAAATTCAACCCCTCATCGGAAGTCATCGTCGACCGTAGGCCGCCACCGGCATGGTGGTTGCCACCAAGGTTCTTTAGCAATTTTTTTTTTTTGTCATGAAAATTATTTGAGGGAAGTAGTGGGATGGAATTTGCTCTCACAACTTCATGGTCATTTGGGCCAACCACCAAAAAAATAGATGACCATTTGGCTACCAATAGCTTGTTAACATTATAATACAATATATATATGTGTGTGTGTATATATAAGTGAACTCCCCTTGCAGCTCATGACAACAATTTATTTAAAAATGATAAGTCTTGATTGGGAAATGACAAATTTAAACTTGAGATTAATAAGACGTTTTTTTCCTTATATATATAACATGAAATAATATGTGAATTACTTAAAAATAACAACAATTTATCCTAAAATGATAAATCTTGATTGTGAAGTGACAAATTTAGACTTGGGATTAACAATACCATTTTTAATTAATTCATATATTATTTCCTAACAAATTTTTAACAATACCACTTTTAGACACTGACACAACTAAATTTAAAGAATTTATAATAAAAAAAATTAAAATTACAATTATCTTCAACCATTAGTTCTGCTCGGTAGTTTTGAAAGTGTTGTCTTTTCTTGGTTTTTTTTTTTTGGTTGTATAAGTCAGAGTATAAAGACTGCCGTTTATTATTTTAACCAGGGGCTTGTTAGTGTCTATTTTCATAGCTTTATCATGCAATGGAAAACTTGTGACTAGGAAATATAATAAAAACGGCATTATTTTGTTTTCCTTGTGTGTCCTTTTGTCCCACATGTCCCCAACGCTTACAAAGAAAAGATGGTTTAACCACACGGTAGTGGCCTAGTGGTAACTTCACTTAGTTCGGTGGGGGTTCGAATCCCCCACCCTTGGGCATGGAAATGCTCTTGTAGCCTATATTTTGCCCTTAAGTAGAGATTCCCGCAGTGAAGGGATTAGTCACTGCTACCAGTGGTGGATACCTACGTAAGCAAAAAAGAAAAGAAAAGATGGTTTGATGGCCCCTCCTCTCAACACCACCCACAATTTTCAAAAGATGATATCAATTGGTGTCGTTTGTTTGATATCAAGAATCAGAATAACATGAAAATAATAAATAACTCATAAATTGAAAAGTTCTTTTGTTTTTTTTTTTAAATTTGAAAGATAATGAAAAAAAATTACTAGGAGTTTGACGGTTAATTTAAAAATATTGAGAAAAATAATTATGCTAGTTATTCTTTAAAAAACACGTGTTTTATTTTTTTTTTTAAACTATTTTTTAATTATTTGCATTGAAAACTATTTTCTTGATAAAAAAATCATATCAATGTATATATGCAATCAATAAGAAGAGTTTAGAAAATAATTATAAATTTAGAGGAGAAAATAAGCTAAAATCTTATAATTAAAAGAAGAAGAAAAATCATCTGCTAACTTTCACAATGGAAGGCCCGAAGGAGTAATAATTATTGACGTGAATAATAATATGAGTAAACTAAATATTATATAATTTCTGTTGTATAAAAAATATATTATATGTGTTGTTTCTCAACAAATTACTATCTATGTTATATACTAATGACATAAGTAATTTTTTCAGTAGTGAAATTCATCATAAACTTAGTCTAATAACCTCTCCAAATCCCATGGCCTAACATTTCAATCCAATGTGTGTGTTCTCAATTTTTATACAATTAATTCATTTAAAATAAAGCATATATTAAAAAAAAAATCGGCGTTTAAGCTGGTTGGTGGTATTTTAAGTACTGATTTTTCCTGCGTATTGACAATGACCCTTAATTTTTAAGTTTGTATAATGTAGGGAGAGATCCATCATTAAGTGCAAATGTGTTTGATTCTGCTGCTGCACATTTAAGTTTGGCTCTTAATTTTAGAGAAGAATTCTATGAAATGAAAGTAGAAGGAAACAAATGATAGCCAATCTATTTCTTTTTTATTTCTTTCATTTTTTGGGGCATCATTTACTCTAAGTTTACACCCTTTAATTTCCCCCTCCATTAGCGAAAAATAAAACCCATGTCAGTTAGAGGAAGTTTATCTGTCGTATTTAATAAACTAAAGCTATTTTCTTTTGAGCTGCTATACTTGGTAGTGAGTGGTCAAGTTAGAGGATGATTTGTGACAAACAAATCTCTGCAAAACTAGTGTGAAGTTGCTCCTTGTCCAATCAAGTAAATATTTCCCATTTTTCAATTTCTATCCGGCCAAGAAACCATAAACTTCAACCTGCCACAACCTGGAGAAAATAATTTTTTTCCCAATAAAAGATCAACTATAATAATAAAACGGGAGTTATTACATATAGTCATAGCCTAAACAGAAAAGGGGGGAAAAAGAAAAATAAGGAGAAA